TAGTTGTAATTCAATGAGTATATAGGAGGTGAAATTGTGATATATGTTTAAAAGTAGAGGGACCAAAATAGGAAATGAAGTGAAAACGGAGGGAGTTGAAAAGAACAAGGGTTCTTCTGTTTGTGGGACCCATGAAACAAAAAACCGGACCTCGACGGCTACACTTTAAGAGTCTATCTGTCGTCCATTAACCCCGCAAATCAATGCCACTTACACTCATACCCACCCTTCTCCATATTTACCCCCACCACTTAAATACAAATTTGGTCCCTCTACTTTATATAAATTAACGAATAAGATTTTTAAATTATTTTTCTAACCAAGAGCATCCTTAAGTATCATTCTGGTCCCTCTAAATAGAGATGTGAATTAGAGTAGTCTTAATGAGGGATAGTATAGTTCATTAACTCTTTCTTTTCATCTAGTTTCATTTTCGTAACACATTTAAGGGGCCGTTTACTAAATACTTACTCTGTAAATGCTTACTGTTAAAATTTAACATTATTATTTTATTACCGGGTAAGATTTTGGTCCATCAAAAAGACATTGTATGCAACAATTTACTCGGTAACTGCTTACCGTGGTAAGAGTCGTCACTCTCACGTGCTGGTTAAGACTCTTGATCTTTGTCTCATTCTTACGGGTAAGAATTTGGGTTCTTACCATATTCATGCAGTGAGGTAATGTGACTTGGTAAGCAGTTACCTAAATAAACATTTGGTAAACGGCTATTTCGTCTCTTCATGTACTTTCATTGTAATAACATAATTGTGCCCTTCATCTACTTTTAATTTACTTAAACTAATAAATATACATTAAAAATGATTGTAGTTAAATGATAAATTAATAAATATATGTCAAACATATAAAAATATTATAATTTATAACTAATTAGAGATTGGCAAAATAACTATACAAACCAATAAATCACTTTATAAGCAATCATTTTAATCACTCTTTACTTCTCCAATTAACATTTATATAATAATTATTTTTTATGATGTTAAATATCTGACAAATTATGACTATTTAATCAAATAACAAATTTACAAGCATTCAATAAAATAAGAAAGGAAGATGTATAAACAACTTTACTATAATATTTAATAATAAATTTATTTTAATTAACATCAAACTAATTATTTAACTATAAAATAATCTAACAATTATAAATAAAAGTAGGTTATTTGTTCAGTAAAATTAATATTTGCAATTTGAAAATACGATAAAGACAATTGCATTTAAAATTCAAATCGAAGTACTACTTAGGGGCCGTTTACTATACACTTATCCGATAAACACTTATCGGGTAATTTTCCCCACGTGATGAACATGACAAGAGCCGAAAATCTTACCCAGTAAAAGCGATGATAAGGATAAAGAGTCTTATCTAGTAAGTGACGGTGACAACTCTTACCCTGATAAGCGTTTACCGGATAAATTATTGCATATGATACCGTTTTAATATACAACAATCTTACCTGGTAAAATAGATTATAGTGTTGACTCTTATAAATAAGCGTTTACCGGGTAAGAATTTGGGTAAATGGCTCCTTAGTGTTTTTTAATTAGAAGATCTAAATAAAAATGCAAAAAAAAAAAAAGTTGAACATTATTTAAGTATTAGATATATTTGATCCAATAAATATGATTAATTTAATTTTTTATGCTTAGAAGCGGAAAATTAATACTTTTAATTTTATTAAAAAATTATTTTTAAAAGGCTAAAGTAGATAAAATTAATTCCAACCAGAATTGTTAAAGATAACATTTGTGTTAAATTTTAGCATTCAAAATTTCTACTGTTTACTCTAATAACATTAATAATCTAAATTATAGCATTTTTATATAGTTTTATATTTTTATAAATTTATCCTTTAATTTTAATCAATTTTTCGTGTATATTAATTAGCTAAAGTAAATTAATTAACTTATATCTTTTTAAATTAAACTTTTGTGCATATTAATTAAAATGAGGAATCATATCTCTTATAAAATTAAAAGGGGAGGGAGTGACCAAATATGTTATTAATATTAAAGTTGATGGAGGGACCAAATACAAATATATTATAAAAATGAAAGTAGATGGAGAGGAATTGGAAAGGTCAATGAACTAAACTACCCCTCACTAATGTCATCTAATTGACGGTGTTACTAGGAGAGATCGTATATGTTATAAAAAATGAAACCAAAAAAATACTCTTGATTAAAAAAATTCAAGAACATTACTCGTTAATTTATGTAAATCATAAAGACCAAATTTAAATTTAACTCTTAAATGTATATCTTGCACAATTTTAAGCTTACAAGAACATTTTTAATTGGGTTTTTACATTGGCTCTTTAGTTATAGTAGTCTTATATTGGTTTTTTAATTGGCTTCTTATGTTAATTTTTATTCTCTCACTATTTATATATAGATAGCTTTCTACAAACATTCTATATTATTTTATTAGAAATTGGTTATTATACAATACTTGACATTTATGCAACCAATACAACTCAATTTCAACCGTCCATTTCATTTAATTAATATTTGATTTCATAGAAGTTTTGATTGTTTCCTAATATAAAGTATTGATCATACTTAATGAACCATATTCATCTTCCATAAATATTCAAATCATAATAAATGAACTCTMATCATTTCCWTAAATATCTCAATTTATTGGGTTGCATTGGTTATACAAATGCGACGGGTTGTATTTGAAACAAACTCTATTTTACTATATATATATATATATATATAGAGAGAGAGAGAGAGAGAGCCAGAGAGGTGAGTTATTATACAACCTCTTACATTTGTACAACCAATACAACTCAACCGTTCATTTAATTTGATGAATATGTAATTTCATAGAAAATTTTTATTGTTTTCTAATATAAAGTATTGATCATAATTAATGAATCTTATTCATCTTCCATAAATATTTAAATCATAATAAATGAACTCTCGTTATTTCTATACATGTTTCAATTTATTAGGTTGCATTGGTTGTACAAATGCAACATGTTGTATTTGAAACAAACTATATATATATATATATATATATATGATGTTTTTTATTTAGTTTGTTTTAATCAATAAATTAAATAAAAAAATATCAAACTAATATATATTTGTTGTAGTAACAATTTATTATTTCTTTATTTTCATTAATTTCAATTCATTTCTCTGCTTATATTAACTTCAATATAAAAATAATTGGTGATGATCTAAATTAATCAAGTGATATTTTTGAAAGGAAACACATTTTTATTGACAATAAATCAAATACAACAATATTCATCAAAACTTTTCTATAAGATGTAAAACAGCCCAACAAATCATGTTAAAAACACAAGAAATAAAAAACAAAATACAGATCAACAACAATGCTTGCTTGACTCTCGTTCGTAGAAACCGAACAAGCCATGAGAAAACAAATCTCATCAAACATACACTTAAGACTGTGAACTTAAAGTCGAAATACCTAAATTGGCCGTCATCACCTATAAACCAAAATAAACCATTTTGTTTTCTTACTTTATTTTCTTCGTTTTGGAGAAATTTAAAAAAATAACTCTATCAAAATGAAAAATAGAAGAAAAACTCCAAATTCTTCATTTGAGAAGATATGTTGGAGATGCTCTTAAACAAACTTATAGAGTACTGTTATTCCAACCATGTATATAATCGAAACTTCGAAAAAGATGAAATGTTGGTGTATATATCATATATGAGGTGCAATTGATAGAAAAAAATTCAATTAGAGTTATCCGTAAAATAAACCATTTTCTGTTAATTATTTTGTAGCATATACAACAAACCACACATTTTACATTTTTCAATGTATTTACATTACATTAGGGATTTGTTTAGTAACAACCATAAAGTATTAGGGATTACAATTGTATATCAAACCAAACCAATCAGTATGTGTACAAACTGTACCAATTCATTTGGTATCAATTTAGTTGGTATTAATTACAATCGGTTGTAGTACCGTACCAAATATTCTAATTTGGTTGGTATACGGTATTGAAAGTCGCATATCATGATAATACCATAGTCTCAACTTATGTCATTATATATTAATTAAATTAATTAATTATAAAAGCATATTTGTTGATTTTTAAGTTCTGTATTGCAATTTTTTTTTTTTGCTTAAATATTTTAATGTTTGCAAGTTTTATTAATTCTTTGCAATTAAAAACCCTTAAACGTACTATGTATTATCTACAAACTCAAAATTTTAACAAAATGACAAGTTTTCATATATGTGAGTTGAAGTTGGTACAAAACCAATACCCACATGTATCAAACTGAAAAAAATTGGTACCAAGTACTTGGTTGATATATAGTATAAAATTTCACATACCAATTATAATTGGTTGATACAAGGTATCATAGGAAAAAACTTGGTACCATACCAAGCCAACCCCTATGCAATATGCAGTAGCTGGTAACATGCTTAAAATTTCTATTACTTTTATGATTTTTTGAGGTATATATTTACATGGGGTAAGTTTAACTCACATTTCTCGTCTTTGGCAAAGGTTGATTCATTGATCTCTACAAAGTATTGTTAGCGGAAGCTCGTTTTGTAACTTTTATGATTTTTAATAGTTTGATAAAATTTGTTTATTTAAAAAGTAATATAAATGAATTAGTATATGACACGGTGACGTTGTGTGTAAACAATAATAAGCCATACCTTATAAGAACTGAACGTGAGTTTGATCTCTGTGTCTAGACTTACGTTCAGTTCTTGCGTAGTACACCTCGTCACATGAGGTCGCGTAGAGGGGGAAACCAGCAACGTTAGGAGCTTGCGGATGGTAATTTTAAAATGTAGGGGACCAAAAATATGTAAACAAATTATTAAGGGTAAATATGCAAACTCATAAAATTCCAGGGGAGTAAGATATAAATTAAGGAGCAAATGCTTTTCATCACGGTGTATATATCATACATACATACCGCCGCACCATGACACCATTCGTCCTTCCCTACAAAAAATGAGTCGGTGGGACGTCACCAACCGCCGCTCATCGGCGCCACCGCTCATTATCTTCACCGTCATTTTCCTCTTCGTGTTCATTCACCCCTCTATCGCATGGCGCCCTTGGCCTCACCAGAGACACAACGCGACGGAGCTCCAATTCGGAAGCTCAAAAAAGTACGAAGGCTCGTCGGAGTTTGTCAAACTCAGGTACCACATGGGCCCTGTTCTCACTGCTAACATCACCGTACACATTATCTGGTACGGCACATGGCCTAGGGATCAAAAACGCATCATCCGGGAATTCATCAACTCCATTTCCTCCACCACCGCACCGTCGCCGTCGGTTTCCGGATGGTGGAAAACCGTCCAGCTCTATACCGATCAGACTGGATCCAACATCTCGCGAACGGTTCGGCTCGGTGAAGAGAAAAACGACCGGCTTCTCTCTCACGGTAAAACCCTCACTCGTCTCTCCGTCCAATCGGTGATAAAAGCCGCCGTAACTGCAAAAACTAAACCCTTACCCATAAGCCCTAAAAGCGGGCTGTACCTGTTACTCACCGCCGATGACGTATATGTTCAGGATTTTTGCCAGAACGTATGTGGGTTCCATTACTTCACCTTCCCGTCGATCGTCGGTTACACTTTACCCTACGCGTGGATCGGAAATTCCGGCCGATTGTGTCCCGGTGTGTGTGCGTACCCCTTCGCCGTTCCCGATTACATCTCGGGGCTAAAGCCGGTGAAATCGCCGAACGGTAACGTCGGAATCGACGGGATGATCAGCGTGATAGCTCATGAAATCTCGGAGCTGGCATCGAACCCGCTGGTAAACGCTTGGTACGCCGGCCAAGACCCGGTGTTCCCGGTGGAAATCGCCGATCTGTGCGAGGGCATTTACGGTACTGGAGGTGGTGGGTCCTACACAGGACTAATGTTGGAAGATAGAGATGGTGCCACGTATAACATGCACGGGATCCGACGGAGGTTCTTGGTGCAGTGGGTATGGAACCATGTGGTAAATTACTGTCGGGGCCCGAATGCGCTTGATTGAAAATGAAAAGGTTGCAACCATGGGGGGTGTTGTAGTAATTTTTCCCACTTTCACACCACAATTTTTGGTCTGTGTTTTATTGATTAAAACATTTTAAGTGATGGCATGGCAACTGGCAAGAAATGAAAATGGTGATGTACAAAATTATTTCTGTTTCCCGCCATCTTGTCTCTCATAGATATTTTCGTTTTTAAGGGTAGAATCGACAATATGCAATTACATTTTTTGCCCTAAAAAGTCCAAATGACTTTGAATTGAAATCCTAATTAATGAGTTATTATTGATTATTTAAAAAAAATAAGTATAATATGCATTTCATATCTATTACATTAAATTTTGTATTATCTATATTATCTTATAAATCAAATTTATCAAAAGTCTAAAAAATAATTTTTAATACATAAAATATTATATATTTATGCACAAAGTCTTAAAAATAACTTATAATGCATTAAAATTTCTTAATCTACAATTAAAATAACATATAGTGCAAGTTACCAATGTATATTATTACCTTTTCTTTTTATGTTCTCAAAATATTTTTGACATATTTCACTCATGCCTTCATCTTCTCATACCTCTATGTCTTCTCCTCATCCTCTAAGGTGAGATTCAAACTGATATTCACTATGAGTTATTAAAAGTTTTCTTATTTATCTTTAATTCAATTGTTCTAGAACACTCGGTATCGCCCTCGATCTCTTAATTCTTTGTTCTTGCTGTGAATCGAACACATTTGTTGAGTCGTTTAAATATGTTGGATTTTAAATATATTGAATTTTAAACCGTCATACAATTTTTTTCATCGATAGATTATACTTAGAACCATAACTTTTATTTATTCAAATTGTATTGATGTGTAAAGACCAAATGTAACTTATATCATCATTAAATTTTCTCTAATAAAATCAATGAAACTTCAAAATCGTTCAGATTTACGGCTCCCGTCGTATCGTACGGGTAAACAACTAGTAAATAGCTAAAGAGTAATAATTTTGAATATGTTTTACTATTTTTTTTTAAAATTATATCCATGTATTTATATTTTATAAAAGCTTTACTATTTAAATTAAATTATATTACATAATTAATTCTGAATAAAATACGGAGGTTGCTAATGACACCTCTTAATAAGGTGTGAAATTCATTGAAACTTGAACCATGTCAAAATCAATCAAATATAATATATTTTATTATTATTACTTTACATATTAATATATATATCTATAATTATATATATATATATATATATATATATAATTCCTTATACTATTTTATATATATATATATATATATATATAATTCTTTATATTATATATTTTATATAAAAATATTTTATCATTATTATTTTTATTTTTATTTTTATTTTTATTTTATATATTAACACACACACATATATATATATATATATATATTAGGGGTATTTATAAAAATAACCAGTTTACACAATCTTTTGCCACAAAATAACCACATTTTAGAGGTTTTACCGAAATGACCACACGGGGCGATCCCCCCATAAGTCTTAAAAAAAATTCCTCAAAAGTCGAGATTACTATTCATCCTCTCGTTGACCGTGTTTGACCTCGCCCCAGGGCGATCCGTACTGTACGGGGCGATCCGGGTAAAAAAAAATTTTGATTTTTTTTCTAATACCAATTTCACTATAAATACCAACCTCCTACTTAATAATTTTTCACACTTTCCCTTCCATTTCTTTTCTCATATATTTTACTCTCACAACCCTTAACCCTTAAACACAATAAACCATCACAACATTTAACCCACTAAACACAATCAACCATCACAAAACATGAAATCACGTGAAAGTGATAATGTTTGTGTGTATCTTCGAAGTGGCGGTTTATTCCAAGATATAAATGGTGTTTTAGAGTACCTTCCGATAACCTCCCCCACATGTGCAATACGTTTGTCTTCGCCAATAACGTATTCTAGGGTCGTCAAACGTGTGACGAAAAAGTTAAGTTTACTTGGTCCTTTCAATTTATTTTTTAAAACGAATACGTTATATCAGTTTATGGACGACGATGATGTGGTAATCCTCCACAACGCCATTCGTCAAACTTTACCAAAAATGTTGATACTATATGTTGTCGACAATGGAGGTTATGAAGGAAATCCATCAAATGCAAACCCGGGAGGTCCAAACACTTTTTACACCGGTTTTGTGAGCACACTCTTCCCCGACGTTAGCGTTGCAAACCCATATGTTCCAAGCACACTCTTCCCTACCAGTTGTGCTCCTGGTCTAAATCAGAGCACTTTCTTTCCTAGCAGTGGAAGTGGTGAAAATCGAAGCACCTTCTTCCCCTACGATGGTGCTGGAAATTCATATCTTGAACAAAAAGTTACCGTTGAACCTGACAGTTATTTTGTTCAAGACTTGAACATGCTTCCGATGCAGTCTCCCAACCCGTACCCGATCTGGTCTCTAGAACTGTCAAAACCGTTGTGGGAGGTAGATATGGCAGAAGATGTTTCTGTTGCTACCGAAATTTTGAACATACCCGAAGACGACGATAACTCCGATTCTGAAGATATCAAGCCGGTAAGGAATAGTTTTTGGGGTACGCCCGACCCACCACCTTGTCCGGACCCAGTTATCAAAAGTAGAAAGGAAAACATTTCCTACCAGCCTACATCTCATGTCAAAGTTCTACAAACCTTTAACTCGAAGGAAGCACTTAAGCTCGCAGTGGGACTAAAGTGCGTTCATGAAAACTTTCAGATGAAAGTAAATAAATCTTTCAAACACCGGTACGAGGTGGTGTGTCACTCAGATTCGGACTGTGATTGGCGTTTGATGGCTGTTTCCATCGATGGTACCAATATTTTTCAGGTACGCAAGCTCCATGATGAACACATATATTCAAGGTCCCAAGTGCACCCAAACCACCGTAATGCGAATAAAAAGGTTTTGGGTCATATACTGGCAGACAGTCTAAAGGATTGTAGGAGAGTGTACCGTGGTAAAGAAATCATGGAAGATGTGAACCAACAGTTCAATATTAGTATCTCCTACCACCAAGCATGGCGAGCAAAGATGTATGCCTTGCAACTGTTGAGGAGGACCCCAGAATCGTTGTTTAACCTACTCCCGGTTTATTGTCACAATCTAAAGCTAGCAAATCCTGGGACTGTGACAGAGATCACTCTTGATCCAGTAGGACGATTCGACATGTTGTTTGTCGCACTCGGTTGTTCGGTAATAATTTTGTCATATTTTATAATTATTGTCATAATTTTATGTTCTGAAATTACATTTTTAATCTCGTTTATTTGCAGATTCGATCGTTTCTAGGACACATGAGACCGCTTCTTATAATGGACGGTGCCCATCTGAAGGGGGCCGTACGTTGGCACCATGTTCTTAGCGGTCGGCATGGATGGAAACAATGGTATCGTACCCATTGCAATGGGAGTGGGGAAGACAGAAAGTGGCACGTCATGGACATGGTTTTTACGTAAGCTTAGGCAGTGTATCGGTGATGTGCCCAATTTAACTTTCGTCACCGATAGGGCTGCCTCTATTGACTTGGCCATACGAACTGTATTTCCTTCTGCGCACCACGGACTTTGTTGTCTGCATCTGAGCCAAAACCTCCGCCTAAAGTCTACTAAAGAGAAAAGGAAACGGTGGATTTTCTGGGAGGCATGCAAAGCTTACCGGTTGTCGGACTTTGAAGCTACTATGGATTTGATGCGACACAGTCTACCTAGAGCTGCTCAATATCTTGAGGAAGTTGGCTACGCTAGATGGGCACGATCACACTTCCCTGGATTGCGTTACAATGCAATGACGTCAAATAGTGCTGAGTCTATCAACTCAGTAACGCGGTTTGCACGCTATCTTCTGATACATTATTTAAGTCGGACATTTTATTTTTAAAATGTTCGACTTTAATATTACGGAGATTGTTTGGAAACAATCTTCGTATGGAACAGGTGCTATGTGAGGGGCGAAGATCTGATCCAAATCTTAACCCCGTGATAAGACAGAACTCATGTCTGCCGAACCGTAGGCTGAACCCTCCGACATTATAATAAATTTCTTCCTTCAGCAAAAAGACGGAGAGGTCCTCACATTGCACCATCCAATTGACAAGACATGAGTCTGAATAGGGGTTGGATAAATCCAACAAGGGCCGAAACATGTGTTTCTAAACATGTTCAGACGCATGTTGTTGTCCCCGAGTGCTTTTCTGATATCTTTAATTACTGAGGTCTGAGCCCTCAAAGTAAGTAGAGATTCGTATGGCCCCTGAAATACAAATTTATTATGTATAAATACATACATAGATACATATATGCGTACGGTTGAAAACCCGTACGCATATTTACGTAAAAAAGGCGATATAAATTGCGGTAACATATATATATATATATATATATATAGAGAGAGAGAGAGAGATGCATAACGTAAAAAAAACGATATAAATTACGGTAACGTATATATATATATATATATATATAGATGCATTACGTAAAAAAAAAGCGATATAAATTGCGGTTTAAACCCATACGCATATTTACGTACGTACGTATTTATATGTAAATATGCGTACGTATTTATACCCCATACACATATTTACGTACGTATTTATACGTAAATATGCGTACAGGTTTAAACCCATATGCATATTTACGTACGTACGTATTTATACGTAAATATGCGTACGTATTTATACCCCATACACATATTTACGTACGTATTTATACGTAAATATGCGTACGGGTTTAAACCCATACCCATATTTACGTACGTACGTATTTTTATGTAAATATACGTACGTATTTATACCACATACGCATATTTACGTATGTATTTATACGTAAATATGCGTACGGGTTTAAACCCATACGCATATTTACGTACGTACGTATTTATACGTATATATGCGTACGGTTGAAAACCCGTA